TAAAATAACCTTCACTTTCACTGTGTGCAGTGCTTTCTCCACTGCCGCATCATTTTCCTTGGTCATCATCTTACTTCAGGCAGCAAGCGGGGTATTTTACAAGCACCAGCTATTTAGATAATTTGCAAAACAAATACTTTGGACTGTACAGTCTCCTGTTTGTGAGCAATCATGACCTAGCTTCAGGGTAAACTAACTGGAAACAGACTATCCCAATAATAGCTTTTGCATAACTATTTAACATAATCAGAAATATTAAAATTGAGTGGGAGACAGAAACATAGCTCAAGACTAAATGGAACTGAGGCAGAATGCCTGTCTCTGTCCACAGCAACTCACCTATGGAAAGCAGAACAACATTCTCTAGATAGTCCTATGTGCGGATCCCAAGAATAATTTTGGGAAGGACTTATTTTGGAAATTTTTTTTTTCCATTACCTGTTTTCTTTCCTTCTGAGAAGAAAGTTATGCTAATACTCTTATGCGTAACAGCAGAGACTCCTACTCTACCATTATCATTTCTATCATTCACTAAACATTCTTCAAACCTAAAAGGCAAGGAGAGTTCAATTTTGTGTTTGCTTTTTGCTTTATTTAACATCTGGGCTATGCCTATTTGTCTTCAAATCAGCAAGTTACAGTCACTTTTCTGCTGGCACTCAGCAGCACAACACATTTTCCATGAGGCAGGGGATGGCTCAACTCATTATTTGTTCCAGAGGATAAGGTCTGTGTGTAGATGTGGTACTTGGGGACATGATTCAGTGGTGGGCTTGGAAGTACTGGGTTAATGGTTGGACTTGATCTTTAAGGCTTTTTCCCAACCTAAACAATTCCATGAAGTAGCAGGTCCATTCATACACCCTCCACCTGGACCTGGAAGTGTTGGGTGGCTGCAGGCATCTCCACTACACACGGGATGTGCCCAGTGCTTAGGGGAGAAGCATTTCACCCCTGCTACTCAGGAGTTACTCATCCCAAAAGTGCCAATGCACCCATAACCAAGGTACTCAGCTTGCCTGAAGTTCCAAGGGTCCTTGTTTTGTGGCCATGCCTGAATTGTCCTTCCTTTTCTTCTGGAAAGAAGCACCATCTGTTTACTGAAGATAAATAGTATGGCAATGATGTCTAACACTGTTTTTACATCCTAAAACATCCACCAAAATCCCGAAGCTGCAGATGCAGAGGAGCCCCAATATGCTGCAGGAGGCTCTCTACCTCTCTGTTCTCTCTGTTCTTATTATTTCTTAATTCCAGCTCTGAGCCCTTCCTACCATCTTCCACAAAAATAAAGGAGATCATCAAATGCATTGAAGTATTATTTTGACACCACTTAGCAGGAATTTGTGCCAAAAAAGAAATGAGGGAGAGGGAAAGAAAGAACAAGGAGCTGTAGGTTGCGGTTTTCTTTCATGGAAGGCAAGTCCCAGGACTTCACATTTATCCTCACAGGTAACCAGCTATTTTGGTTTCCTCCTCTCCCTAAAAACAGTGAGGAGTGCAAACACCAGCAGAGAACACTGGGGCTGATGTCAGTGTTAAAGAAGTGGAGGTTAAACTTGCCCTAAAGCCCGAAAAGGTAAAGCGAACAGAAGGGGGCAGGCTGGCAGAGAGGAGATAAAAATAGGAGTGACTAGACTTCACTTGACAGCTATTTCTGGATCAACGAGGGAAAGAGATCTGAGAAGCTTTTCTATTTGTAAGGGAGACAGAGACCAAAACATAGCTGCCTTCTAGAAGGCCACAGTCCTGCACAGCAGTTTTGTTTATGCTTCTACTTTTCTATATCCTGTGTTCTCACTATTTGGTAACAGTGCTGTTCAGCCAAAATGTCATTATGTGTCTAAGTGAGAAACCAGATGAGATTTTCTGGAGCAGGACAGCAACGCCTGTGGCATTTCAATTTAACAGAAACAAAGCTGACAGCACATTGTAAACTGGGCAGCAAATCACAATGCCAAGCAGAGTAAACGAAGCCACACGGTATTTTAGGAAAATAACCAAAACCCTGCAGTATCTCCAAAAGGATGTCTTGTGTTTTCCCACTCCAAAATGATTAGTGAAATTCTAACCTGTCCCAATTATGGATATGGACTAACAACAACAACAGGGACCTCCCAGTTACAGCATGGAGTGCTTGACTGATGCATGGCTCTGGGGATGAATCTTTTTGCCTGTTCAAGCCCTTTCCTCTTGAGTACCTCTGCTAAAATTCCTTCCATTGAGTAATTTCTATCCAGACCCTGGCTGCGCTGGCTGTGTTCCCATTTAAAAGAAAACCTGCAGGCAGAAAGCAGTGCCATCTGCCCAGTCAGGAGCTGCTTTAATGGGCAAGTTTGATGTGAAGGGGAACAACCTATTACACTTTATCTTCAAGAGCAGGAGTGATGTTCTTCCTTTCCCAGGAGCAGGTTACAGCAAGCACTCTCATGCCTGAAGTATTTGTCCACAAATATATATAAATCTCAATGGATATGTGCAAGCAACCTCCAGAAAAAAATCCATCCAGCATCCCTTTTTTTCATGTTCAGCTTGCAACTCAGTCTTTCAATTTCTCTTTACCTGTCATACCAGTTGGGTTTGCTCTGTAACAGCTTCATCAGTCTCCACTTTCTATTCCTGTACATGAATGATAACCCTGCCATCACACCTGAAAAGAACAAGCAGTGGCAAGGCCCTGTTGTCCCTACACGGAGAATTCTGCTGTGAAACCATTTCTGAATATTTTTTCCTAAGCTTCTTGTCCCTTTTACATAACTGCTTTGACTGCATGATTTGCTCTCAACTGTCATCTGGAGCAGGTTTGGGACTTGTGTGGCCCAATTCAAGTTTCACGAGAAACAAAGGAAAAACTTCCTCTGAATATTGATATCCTTGCAAATATCTTCAGGACTGGGAAAAGATCTTTCTATTGCTGCAAATTAACCAAGGGGAGTTTTTATCCCTCCTTGTTGGGTAATCTTCTCACTAGACCATCTTTGCAGAGAGCAGCGGATTCTCTCTGGGCTGCTGGCAGTTTTACTTAATTGCATGTTTAACTTTTTATTCAGCACTTAAACCCATAATGATGAGAAATGCACACATGCAAGCAGCAAACTATTATCTGCCATTCAAACTCCCTAGAGAACTTATAAACATCTTAATATTGCTGCCATACTTCTGTCCTGTTCAGAAGAAAAGTGCACACGTTCCACAGCTGCATGGGAAACAGGATGACAAGCACATTTACAGGGTAAGCTCAGTGATACATCAGCTGTTGCTGACCTGTAATGACTGGGTAAGTGGAACTTTGGTCCTTAATATATATTAAAAGTTCTGAAAAAAATCAGCCAACTCAACCAGTGCTAAACACAAACAGATATTAGAGACTTCACCACAGGTTCCTCCAACCCATCAAGCAGAAGATATTCTATCAGGGCACAGCAATTTCCATTCTCTTCTCCCTCTCCCCAGCTCTGAGGGCTAAAATAAAAAAATTAGTTTCCAGATGCTAATATACATTGGAATATTTTCCTACCTCATTCTAGAGCTACAAAATTTGCTCTGGAACATACTTGTTGCTACTGGATTGCCCTCTGGCAAGGCAACTTCTGTTTTAAAATTCTTCCAACCCTTATGACTGCAAATCCTTTGAAGTATGAATGATCTCTAACCAGCAACAAAGCCACTGAACTCTTCAGAAACAGCAGATCAGCTTCAGCATTAACTATTATCCTTCATCACAGTATGCTAAGTTTATAAATTAATGTTGCTAGCACTCCAGAAGGACGTGATTAATGGATCATCTCAGAGATGCAAAGATGGGACACTCCCCATGGCAGGTGCAAAACCCCAGTACCTGCAGTCTGTTGTCAAAACCTCCAGTTTCCCTACAATAAACTTGTCAGTCAGCTACGTGAAGCTAACACAGAAGAGTGTGATAAACTACAAGAGAGTGTTGGAAACACATGAATTAACAAGCAAATTATTTTTAAGCTTTTCTAGTTCCTCTATTAATTTTTTTTTCAATACCCAAAGCTGCCAGGTATTTCCAGGCTGCTCTACCATAATGCAAAGGCTTTGGTGGGGACAGCAGTTCTGTTTGCTAGAGACCATCTCCAGGCCTTGGCAGAGCCTCTAGCTGACCACTGGCAGAGCCACTCTGCTCCCAGCACACATGGAGTACGTTTAGGGAAAGGAAGGACACCTGAGAGCCTCCTGGACCCACCACATTAACACCAGCAAGGAATCTGTAACACCTATAAGTAATTCTCATGACAATTACTTCAGCTGCTTTTAGTCTTCTGGTACTGAACCATCCTGGTTCTCATTTAGGCTGGTTTTTTTCCCAATAATGTAATTTAAGAATAGCAAGGAAATTTTCAACTTTAAAAGCTGCAGAACAAAAGGCAAGTAAGCTTTATGCTCTCTAATAGATGGTTATTGCTCCATTTATTTAAGTGGTACTTACCACCATAAATATCTACTAAACTCACTTGCCATACTGGTGTAATCGGTGCTTCCCCAGGAAATATCCTTTGGTAAATTGCAAAAATAAAGGAGGAAAATAAATGAACAACTAGAAATGCTCCTTAAGAAAAATCTTCATACAGAGGAAAGACTGAAGATCAATGAACATTTAAGTATTTCACAGCTTAGGCCTATTCACTGCACAAGATCCAAAATAGTTTCCTTCGTGAGTATTGCATAATATGTTCATTCAAAATCTAACAAGTTTTCTCCCAGAACACACCAAGACACGGTTCTCTCCCCCGCTTTCTTGTCTTTTAAATATGAACACAAGAATTTCACAGCTGATAACATTATTCTGGAAACTACACAGAATATTCTGGAAAAGGCTCAACTGGGACTCCAGTGTTGCAATAGCAAATGTTTCCACGTATTCAGGTTCTTCATGCATCACTCTTTGAGAAAGGTAAGCACAGAACAAGTAGTTTTTACAGGGAATGAACTTTGGCCACCAAACCATAAATAAGGAAAAAAAGACAAAACACACATACCTTCAAAGCACATTTCTGGCCTGTCTCCTTGTTGAAACATTCCAGTACTTTGCCATTGATTCCTAACCCTAGCACACGCTTGGAGAGTTTGTAGTCATCTGTAACTGCATGTTTTTTTATCTCTAGTTTGACATGGGCTGTTCCCCCAGGCAAGGATTTCACGCTGCTCTTGCTCTCCACATCACTCTCTGCCTGGGATTCCTGTTCACCTTCACTTTGTTCCATATCAGGGAAGAGTCTGGGATGACAGAGATACCCAACAGATTCCTGTGGGGTATCCTCAGCAGAGCCCCTTCTCTTAAGCAATCAAACCCAGTGCTTCAAGCGGTCCATTTGCTCGCCATTTAGTCCTGAGTAAAAATGTAAACAAGTGTTAGTAACTGATGTCAACTAACTGTTGTCCCACCTCACCGCTTTTTTCTTAACAAGATGACCAGGTGCCAGAGAGAACAGAAGTGAAGGGTCACCTCAGGAGAGCACACTTGAGCTTCACAGACCTGTCACCCCACTTCCAATACACACAGCTCTCGGTCTGCAGGTATAAAACACTGCTTTTACTGCAACAAAAAGTAACTGAGTAACTGCTGAGTCTTGGAGTAACACTACAGCTAAGCTCTGAACAACAGAAGAGAGCTTCGAGCTCATAAACCCTCATCAACCACTTGTTGCCTCAACGTTTTATGTAGAAATCCTCACCATGGTCCCCTGCCTCATCCCGACACTCCCAAATCACGCAAGAGAGCCACGAATACCTGGACTGAACCCCAGAGTGGCACTGCCTGGCCACGCACCGAACCCTGGGACTGTGCTTTAATTGCCTGGGTCCACATGCTAGGGTCAGGGACCGCCAAACCTCCCAAAAACTGAAGTCCGTGGAGATGCCATGGCGTGGCTCCCAAAGCCGAGAGGGTCCCGCTGGGGACTTGAGGGGATCCCCGGGGCGGGTCCCGGTGCCAGCAGCCCCGTTTCCACGAGCAGAGGGGCCGCTGGCTCAGCCCCCCGCGCTGAGGCGGCGGCGGAGGGCGGGAAAGCCCTGAGGCGAAGCCGGGAGAGCGGGGGGTGGCGGCGGCGGCGGGAGCCGGGCGGGGGCAGCTCCACGCCGGAGCTCGATTACCTGCTGTGGCGGTGCGGCCCCAGCCGAGGCTTCCCGGAGCGGCTCGGGGAAGGCGGGCTCTGCCTGGGTCCGCCCCGCCGCCCCGGGCAGGTGCGCGCCGCCTTCCCGCCCCGGGCCGCGCCGGAGTGCCGGCGGCGGGACCGGCCCGAGCCCCGACCATCGGCCAGGACTGGGCCGGGCCCGAGCGGGGAGCGGGAGCTGGCTCGTGTTCAGGTTCCACTGCTCGGGCTCCTCTGAACAACCCTGGTGGGGAACAACCCCCGCGGTGATTTTAAGGTGATCTAAGGCGGCGATTTAAGGCACGATATTAATTTATTGGGGTAAACGGCCCTGATAGAGGGGGGAAATGAGGCTGCGACGGCGGCTCCGGCTCCGGGCTGGTACCGCAGCGCGCCCGCGCGGTGGCACCGCCGGCCCTTCCCCCGATGGCTCCTCGGGGAAGGAGGAGAATCGCCACGTTCGCTCCAAACCCTGTGTTAAACAGGCTGTTGCAAGGAGACGCGATAGCGGGCAGTGATCCTTCAGGCGCTTGGCTACCGAAAGGGTGCTCTCACTTAATGCAATCGCTAAATGCGACCAAAGACGCGGTCAGTGTTTCTCGGCACTTTCAGATGCACAGTCAGGATACCAAAAGAGATGGTTCCCACAGCAACTGTCGCTCATCACTGGTGCACAGAGTGTGGTTCCAGGGATGTGAAATGCTGAGCTTTTTTCCCTACATGTGAAGATGAGTCATGCATCGAAATGGAGCTGTATTCGTATCACTGGAAGGAGCTTAAAGTTCACATGCTTTACAAGTTAAAAATACATTTGTCATTTTACGTAACATAATGGCATCTGGAGTTCTAGCAGATAGGAAAATAATTAAAAGGTCTAATGAGCCCTTTCTCCAAGGAATAAAAAGTAGTTCAACTTAGCAGGATGCAGATCTGCAGTACATCACCATGTGATGTGATGCTACAGCTATCCTGCCTCAGGTTTCCCTTCTAGGCTTTCAGCAGTTCAGCTGCTGGAGGGCCTGGTCCCCTGATTCAGTTCACTTATTGTGGGCTAATCAAATCCCTGAGGAAAACAGCTATTTCCAATCTTTTCAGGTTTAGCTGTCAGCCGTCTTAGTCTGCATCACCTCCCACTGCGGTAGTCTCTGAGAAATGTATATGTAACTGTGAGCTCCCAGGTTGCAAACTTCAATAACATGGTTCTGCAGTCACCAGCTTGCTCTGATTTTCCTTCCCATGCCTTCTGCCTGTCTTTGCTTTTCTGTTTGTCCTGGATGGTAACTTCCTTCTCTTTACAACAGGTAACTATTAGTTCTCTTCTCCACACTCAGTCACCAGGGGTCAGACCCTTCAGAAAACTTCTAAATCTCTCCACTGTCTTCTGCATTTTTTATTTTTTACATTTTCCATGTAAGTCTCACCCAAAAGCCTACGGCTGCCCAAAGCAGGCAGGAGTTACACTGACTAGCACATTGAAGCTAGTAGAAGGCGATTTATGGCTCTATTCTAAGAAATATTAAATGTTGCAAAAATTCCAAGCAGATGTCTACTTAAGGGATTGCTATTTTCTATAGTGTCAGAAGTAAGGAATTTCACTAAGAAACTATTACTCTAACTATTACAAGAATGAGTTTCTTAAAAAATAAGCTGTACATGGAAAGCAACGAGGAAAGATGAGGGAATGAGACAGGATGTGTGAAATTAGTTCTCTCATGAGCCATCTCCTGATGAGAAGAGTTAAACTGGGATGGTAAGAACAACATCTTTGAAGTCAGAGGAGTATCTCATTGGATGAAAAGCTTGTTTGGGTTCACCACCTGATGTTGCCTGGATATGCTCTTGGCAAAGCTCATTATTTTACCAGCAACCAGTAATAAGTTTAAACAGGGCAAAACACTAAAAACCCAATGTGAATCATGGTTAATAAGGCCTTACTTCAACCCTCTGCTAAGTTCAACCACCATAAACTCCTAAAAAGTCTTTCTAGCATCAGCCCAAGTATCAGACAGCCTCACTCTACACAAGGATGACCCCAAAATAAAAAGCAGCTCCTGAAGCCTCTCTTGGTGCTCGTGGCAGGTGGTGCTCCATTAGCATCCTCTGGAGATGCTAATGGAGAATACACTGACAGGCCCACTGCAGCTCCTTGAGCCAGGGGATGTTTTTCACTCAAATGGATGTTTTTATTTATTTATTGATGTTTGCTTTTTGAAGTTAAAAAAAAACCCTAAAACAGCATTATTACAAGCTAAGAGCCCACTACAGCAAAAGTTCTTTCATCTTCACAAAAACCCCTAACACTGTAAATTAAACATTAATCCTACTTTACCAGAAGTCCCCAACAGCAACAACATAGAGCAACATAAATTTCAAAAGAGAATTTGGTGTAGCTCAGTTATGCCTGCTTTGTCCCAAAATAAAACACAGCTTATAGGAGAAAATGGCAAATATTAAGGTCCTGTTCTTTAAATAAGCTTAGGGGCAGCAATCCCTTTCCTCTAACCAGTGTCTTAACCTGGTGAAGCTTTTTATTTTAGCTCACAGTTTGGATATGTTCTCCCTGATTTTATCATGTCTTCAATATCACAGATACCTGCTTTACACAGACAGACCACTCTGTTTAAACAGAGAAGGTTAATTTTGGCTATTTCACAGGGTATTTTCACTGCCTCTTTGTTGTGCTGTAGCAATTAAATAACTGGGATCAAAGACATTTCAGACTTTCAAATGTCTCATTTCCTAATAAAAATGAAATGAACTGAGTTTGCTGTCATCTGGAGAGTTAGGAAAGCTGCCATCATCAAATGTTCTCTGAGGGATGGCAGATCATGAGGAGTGATACCTGAATAGTACAGGGATCTCAGTTTCCTTATATACAAAAGTGATTTGCTTGGTGGTCAGCCCTTTGATAGCAATGTCTCACGGAAACAGCTGTGATAAAGAAATTATCAGCTGAAAACTAGTGACTTGTTTTTCTGAAACTTTGCTTTGTCTGAGTAACAGCTCTCTATTTTTTTCTGCTGTTATGAGAAATCCACACTCACGGGATGCATTATATAGATGTCACCAAAGAGAAAATCCTCTGTACTGTCAGGTTGAAGTGAGGACACGGCTTTGTCTGGTTGGGCGGTTGTAACAACCTTATTAAATCCCCCAGGAAGTTCTTCAGAAACTGCATCTGTGATATTAAAAGAAAGAAAGGGCAGCTCTACAGAGTAACATTTTGATATGAAGGAGAACAAAAGCAGTCTCTTGTAGGATCTTTAGTTTAGACTGTCATGTACACAGTGGTCTGAAACACAAACTATATGCATGTTTTTTTCGCCTGTCTTTTGGCTCTGCTCTGGAGGTGTCTGTTTCAGACTTATCAAAAAGGCATGAAAAAAAACCAAACGCAAAAAGCTCATCAGCAAACAGCCTGGCTCTTTTCTCTCCTGGCTGACACAAAATCAGGTTTATAAAGCTCTTTCATAGGCAATGATCTTTACTGATGCTTTGTTGCTAGAACAACTTCTCTTTTATTCTCAACACCCTCTGTCCTTGTGTACATGGGATTATAGCATGGTTTCCAGGAGGAATTAAAATTTCTGGCTATGAAGCAGCTTCTAGTTAAGGAAACAGAAGTCTCAAGAACACCACTCTCACCATCTGGAGAGCCTGTCCTGGTACCTGACTTTGTTCCTCAAGATTAATTCCTCCATGTTAGCACATAGCATGTATTTTCCTATAGAAATACAGACAAGGATAGAAAAGCTGCTTTTTTATGCCTGGCTTCAGACACCCTGTTACAGGTACCTTGTCTTGGTCATTGAGAAGGTTTTGGGAGGCTCCATCTATGTTCCTTCACAGTTTATTGATGGGGGAGTCAGAGAGATACCAGCTGGATGTTTCCCTTTCAGCAGACATAAAAAAAAGATACATTTTTTTCACAGAAGAATCATAAATCAAAAGCATGAAAAAACTGCTAATCTGTCTACAGGAGATGGTGCTTCATTTTATGCTGCAGTGGAGCAGAGGAAATGAATCTCTTTCATTGAAACATCCTGCAACTAATGGGTATGACAGCATTACCTGGTAGTCCTGGGGTGGCCACTCAGGAATACAATTTTTGCAGCATTTGAATCAAGCAGCAAAACTCCTAACAGATGCCACACTGCCATCAACTTCTAGGTCACCATGTGCCACAAGCATCAGGACAACGACTATACTTGAGCTCCTTATAATAACCCAGGGTATTTTTTCACAGCTTGAAATAAAACCCATTCCTTTCTGCACATCCTGCTGCTCATGGAGCCAGCTCAGATGTCCCTGTATCCATGGCACAGCTCACCCGCACCCTGGAGACTCCTCCATTGTTACTCACCAGGTTGGGAAATCAAAACCACAACATTAAATGCACCACCTGTTGTTGATTACAGGAATTGGTGTGTCCTACTCGAATAACGAGCTGGCCCCTCTAAACAAGGAACAGCTACTTGTTATTGGTAACGTTGGGTCACTCTGTGGGGTTTGCTACACTACAGCTCAGGGTAAGGCCAGGCAGTAACCAAAGGGGTGACTTACTTTCAGTCTTTCAGGCTACTGGTGAAGGTAAATCCAGTCCCCAGGCACACAGACCCCTCTCAAGAGTTACAGTTCTGGATGTCACTTTTCATTTTACACCAACTAACTCTACAAGATCACAGGAATGTCCAAATGCCCAGCAGAAGTCGTATAACACCCGCAGTGGGAAGGGGCTCTGGCCACCGGTTTTCCCAAGCACACATTTAGCAGCAGATGGTGCTGTTGTGTCAGTGAACTTTCCTGAGGGACCTACCGCCTCACTATTTCTGGATTTTCTTCCCTGGCTTTATTGCGAGCTTTGAGCTTTCTTTGATACCTTTCATAACTAAAGCCTAGCATTCAATGATATCACTCAACAAGATTTCTTGCTACTGCCTCCGTAATGTCCTTATTATTCAAGACAGTACTCTGGAAAGCCATC